GGCCGCTCCCCCCTTCGCAGGCGGTGGGCGCCAGCCCATAGCCTCTCGGTCGCGCGCCGATCCTGGGCGACAGCTTCTTGGCGTCTCGGCGGAACAAACGTCCGAGATGACCGGAAAGGATAAGTGGTTTTCCCTATGCAAAACGATAGGCTGCAGGTACCTCGCCGGGATCACCTGGGCACAGTCCACGGTGACCCCAGCGGGCGGGGAGAATTCGGCCAGTGAGCACCCGAAGGAAACGATGACAGCACCGCCGAGGGAACGTTACGAGAACGTAGATTGGTCAGATCGTTGCTGCAGGACTTGTTGGGAAAGCTCCGGGAGAGGCGATGGTGACGATATTTGCACTCATGATAGCGGCTGCCTTATGTATGAGTTCCTTCCGAATGACCCGACCAGGATAGCAGAAATGGTTGCCGATGCTTTGGGGATATTCCACCCCCGAACGGCACAGCCGCTAGGGCAGCTCAAGGTACCAGTGACACACACAACGTTACGGTACCCAAAGATATCCGATTCTGAGATGATTGTTACGGAGCGGAAGGATGTTGAGTTGAAAGAACGTGCCATTCTGAGCCAGAGGTGGTTACCAAGAAGTGGACCCATGTTGAATTGAAATCCACGTACTTCTTGGAGACCAAAAAAGAAGATGCATCATACTTTCTTCGTTGCAATCAGCCCCAACAAGTGGCTCGCGGACGATGGGCGCAGAAGGTTGTGATGACTCGGAACGGCCGCAATTATTCTCGGATTGACAGTGTCGCTGGCGAACTCAACGAGGATTTGAAGAGATGCAACGAACCGGTCATTCAAAACTTGTACAACCAGATGTCGGTGGACCCATGGGTCGTCTTCTGGGTAGCCTGCCAAAAGGACTCGCGAGGCTATTTCAGAAGCAATTTCGACGGTCCTCCCCCGGATCTCTCGAAAATAAAGGAATGGCCAATCCCATGTTGACCCAATCACGACATTGACATATAATTTTGATACCGGACCCCCAGGGGATCCGAAGAGCGGGTTTGTTCGGACCTGCGATCGCGGGGAGATGATTGGACCGGATCTGATAGGTTCGAGACGCACCTACATGAAAGGCAAAGGACATTGCATCACCATTCGAACCATTGACCGATGCACGAACCAAGTTGTCTTCATGAATGTTTGGGGGCCCTCCAGGAGTAAGCTTCCTCGCGGCGCAGCCGTGGATGGATGGGGCGCTCATTTTGCACTGCCAGTTGTCAGAGGCGATCCCATCGCAAAGATAAATGCAGTTGCGCAAGCGGTGACTGATGAGGCCCTGGATCAGCACTGTGCACGGAAGGAGTTGCAGGAAAAACCTCATTCCAAAATGGCCAGACTTCACTCGGCGGCGCAGCCGTCCGAGCGAGGAGGGCCGCCCTCAAAAGAGGACAGCTGTCCGGCTCAAGAGACGAACCCTTCGCAGACGGGATTTCGTGGCCAGCCAAGGCTGCCAAGATCGAGAAGGTCGCCGACGCTGAGGAGGGATCGCTTCCTTCGGAAACCCCGATGGGTGTTTCTGATGGCCCGTGAATGCTCCGATGGGAGGCGGTCCTTCGGGCTCCGGTGCCTCAAATGGCGCTCCGGGCGGTTATATTGCTTGCAATTTTCCTTCCGCTGGCGCAGCCGGGGGTCGGGGGGGGGCATCATCTGGGTGGGGGTCGGGGGGCGGGGGCGCCGGACAGAGTCCTGACGCGCCGAGATGGGGGCGGATACTGTTAGCTGTGCGAGAAGTAACTATCTTGTTCATGTCTGCGGGGATCACTGTTGTCTGCGATGCGAAGTGCAGCGTGGCACGAACTATACGAATGAAGCTCTAGAAGCACTGCGCGATGCACATGATTTGGATTGTCGAATTTGATCCGCTATTGAATCATTCGACCTACTTCATGAATGAACCGCAGGATTGGGGAATGAAGTATTAGAGACCGTTAGACAACATTGCATAAGTATTCAAGATGCTATTGTTTTCATGCGTGCGTCTACGGAGCCTCAATTTACTGTCGGGATGTGTTTAGCCAGCCGCCGTTTTGGATTCTTCAGCACAGACAATGCCATTGGTTTTACCAACTGCCCTAATGAGAAAAAGGAGGAGCGCTGCCCAGCCGACTCTCCCACAGAGACCGTCCCAGCTGACTCTCTTGCAGATGCCGCAATCATGATAGCTGAAGACAACACCCCGAGCGGCGCTGTCGCCTCGGGGCTGCGAGCTCAGCGGCATTCTCGCCCAGAATCGAGGCCGAGGTATCGGGGGGGGAGGCAATCCCATAGGACGGCCCCTTATGCTCCCGTGTCCGCCGGCCCAGCCGCGTCGGGCACCAATGCTGGTTGGGTGAACTATGATAGGGTCCAGTCTCGGGTGGGTGCGTCCATTGCAGAGCCGGGCGGCCGCGCGAGCGATGGCGGCGGTGCCTGGCCGGCCATGGGGGGCGGCTACGACGCGACGCGCGATTATGCGGACAAGAATGAGAATGGAGAAGTCCAAAGACATCGTGTACATGTATCTCGTCACCAGAACAGAATGTCACTGGTCATGCCAAAACTTGGCGCTGGTTTAGTTTGAACAACTACAACGACAAGTTCAAACGTGATTCTGGGACGCCGAGTACCTTGCCAGAGCCGCCGCCGCCGCCTACGCCGAAGGCGAGGCCGCCCGAGAAAGGCCGCTGCAAGGGTCAGCCAAACAGCTGGAGTTCGAGCAGAAGAGAAGATAGATATGACAATTATTCAAGAGATCAGTTCCAGTGGAACTGGAGCAACAGAGACACGTGGGATGAATCTCGAGAATGGAGGAGTGATTGGCAGAGGTGATGCAGTACAAGAAGGACCAGTGCGACTGTGTCGGTGCCGGTCCGCAGTTCACCAGGAAGCGGGTGCACCAGGTGTGCGCGGGCGTTGTGGCCTGAGCTGGGAATATAAGCTCAGGCGGGGTACGTCGGGTTACTTCGGTCTTCCGCCCTCTGGCAACCACCGCTGAGCGGTAAAATGCTTTTGGGGTTCGCTCCGGTGGCTGCGCATATGTGCAGGCCAGGTGGGTTGGGGGTCGGGGCGACTACGGATCCCGCCGCGGGGGGAGTCAGTGCGCCCCTTCCGCACCACCATCCTATTGCCCATCCTGCTCTCTAGCCTTGCATGCACTGTCTGCTGCGCTGACTGCTTCTCTTCATGACTTGAGTGTTTACCTGCAGCTACAACTTTGGCTCTAGGGAAACGGAAAAGGAGCGAGCCTGCGGCGCGCGCGTGCGTCGGCCGGCGGGCCGGCCTCTTCCCCTCAATGTTACCCTATTGTATGCTTGACGGCATTATCCCATCTTCCCAGTGTCATCGGCGAAGCCCCCTGACCATGAGATACCAACGGAACATCTTGCAGGGATTATGAATATCCAAGCAAAAGACTTGTCCCGATGGTTGTACCGATTTATGTCCCGATAGTTGTCCCGATGGTTGTCCCGATGGTTGTTCCGATGGTTGTCCCGATGGTTGTCCCGATGGGTTGCCCCGATGGTTGTCCCGATGATTGTCCCGATGGTTGTTCCGATTGTTGTCCCGCTTGTTTTCCCGATGGTTGTCCCGATGGGTGTCCCGATGGATAGTGGTTCCGATGGCGCGCCCGTCGCGCGCGGTGATGGTTGTCCCGATCGCACATCGACCGCTTCCCCTTCCCCCCCAACTTCCTTATCACCCGTAGGGTGGCCCTATCGGTAGGGGTACGTTCCAGGCTGGTTATCCAAGCTCGTTGGGCTATCAACCCAGATATGACCTCCAAGAACCCCGAGAGCCAGGCCGGCGGCACCAGCTTTTACAAACCGCGGTGGACATCCTCTCCTGATTCTCCTCCCTCGCTCCTCCCTGTTTCTATTCTTCCACTCTCCTCCTCCACCCCTCCTCCTCATTATCCTCCTCCCCGTCCCCTTTTTCTTCTCCTCCTCTTTCCCTTCCCCCCCGTTCTCTCCTTTGCCGCACTGCGACTGCACATCCCGCAGGGTTCGTGCATGCCTTCGAACGCCGGAACAACTCTGAGGCCCCCTTGGGGTTCGAGGGGGAGTGGCGCGGCTCATTGAAAACATATTTTTCGATGGAAGACAATGGCTTTCATTGAAACACATTTGTTTGCTTTGCGTGAGGATGTCGTTCGTCCGGCTTGAAGCCCTAAAACATTGTGTGGCACTGGAGACCCATGCCAAACAACACCCTGTTTGCCTTCAAAGTCCCCTGTTTGTGTTCGGCTTCGACGGTTTACCGCAAAACATCAATGGATTTCCTGGGGTTTCAGGGATCGGTTTCTTGTGGAAGGTTTCTTGTGGTCGAGTTCCTACTGTATGGTCAGTCGGGCCATGGGCCAGGCGGAGAAGCCCTCTGTAAGTGACAAGGTCTACGCGATCCCAGTCGTAAGGAGCGTGGCAGACTATGTCCTGATAAAGCGCCTGTGGTTCATACTATGTTTTCCTGCCGATCTGTTCAACTGGTGTTTTAGCTACTGGGTCTTCTGAAACATAGGAGCTCAGGGGTGGCATTCCGTCCGATGATCTACTCGGCCCATCGCGTGGCTGGTGCTAGCCGTTATAAGCAAATTGTTGAGCTAGTTGCCCATTGCTGTCGGCCTGCAGATGCCCCTCGGCTGTCGGAAGCCTGTTGCTGTCTTCTGATCCCTCGAAGAGGGACTGCTTGCAGTTGCGAAAAATCCGTTTGCAAGTCGCCAAATCTGTCTCCATTGCAACGCTGTTGTTATTCGTTGTCCGCGCTTTACCTGCTAGGCTCCAAGCATCCAGCTATTGCGAGGCATGTCTGTGACATCACATGGCTATGACAGGTCGATTCCCTGAGACTCGATATGCGGCCACGATTGGACTCATAATAACATTTCCAGCAAGTTGTGTAAGGCTAGTTAGGGTAAGATTTGGCCACTTCGGATTTTGATTCGGGGAGCCATATGCATGATGACGCTTGCATTTTGCTTTGGAGTCTAGTGTTTTCTGCACTGCCAGGACGCGGAGGAGCGCGATATTGTCTTCCTCGGTTTCCATAAGATTGCAGCTGCGCTCATCGCTGAGTTTGAGCATAAGGCGCCGCAGATCATGCGCAAGCTTCTGGTTCTCGACCACAAGAACGGGTTGAAGGAACCGCTGCACGCCAAGAAGGTCGCTTTCTCGGCTTGCGACGTCACCGCGGCGGATACGATAAGGACCGGCTGGTCGGCAGACTAGGGCTGAGCCTAATGGGGCCTTTGTGTATGCATGTTTGCTCCAAGATGTTGTGAAGGGGGTTACCGAGCCCATGGTAACGTACGGTATGACCGCGTCGTGTCGACGCGGCGGCGACCCCAGTGTGGGCGCTCAAGGTTGAACGCTGCCCCTGGCCCAGAATCTGCAAACATCATGCCGGACGAGCCGCGCCATCGGGCAGCAGCGATTGTCGAACGTTGAACGATCCACGCGGTGTCAGAAACCAGCCCGCAAGCCGCCACGAAAGGAATTTGCTGTGTCCAGGCTGTGTGCCGCCTGGCAAGCCTGCCCTCTGCCTGCCAGTCAGCCACGAGGGCATGTGTGAAGCAGCGAGTCGACCTGGTGCTGATTACTATCCCCGACTACATCATCACCGGCGTCTCGAACGAGCGGCTGCTGATGACCGCGCGTGAGGTATTACCGGAGATGTGAATCCTGAAATCTGGACGCCCGAAATGGGTACGGAAAGAATGGGTACAATGCCCAACAGCAGTTCCTGTTCATTTTGAACAGGACTCGCTGTCCGCGCCGCCGCGGCCTGTGTCCATTCGAGACAGAAGGCCGCCCGCCCAACAGCGGCCGCTGCTGGTTTGGGACGACATCTGTTGTTGGGCATTGTACCCATTCTTTCCGTGCCCCTTTCGGGCGTCCAGATGAGATGCGATCGCCCTCCTGGTGTCGATCGCCCGTCGTACGAACGGGCACTCCCGTCTCATCCGTTGTGCCACTCTTGAGGATCGGGGGAGCGTAAGACCCGGGTTTGCCAGGACTCGGGTTCGCCATCGTTTTTTGACGACCGCGCCTCGGATTTTGACGAGGAGGAGTTTCGTGGGATGCCTGCAGCGGGAGGCCTCGTCAGAATGCAGGCTCGGCCTCGTCATCTTTTTGACGACCTCGTCGGGGATTTCCGAGTCCCCTGTACCCAGGTCTTACGTCCCCCTGAGAGGAGAGGACCTCGATCAAACCGCCCCCGCACGGCACGGCCCGCGGGCACGGCACGGCACGCTGGCGGAGGATGAGCTGGAGGAGGAGGAGGAGGAGGAGGAGGAGGAGGAGGAGGAGGAGGAGGAGGAGGGGGAGGAGGAGGAAGAGGAGGAGGAGGAGGAGGAGGAGGAGGAGGGGGAGGAGGAGGAGGAGGCGGAGGAGGAGGAGGAGGAGGAGGGAGGAGGAGGAGCCCCGGCACGGCGGCTGCGGGCACGGCACGGCACGGCACGGCACGCGCGACGCGGTCACGGCACGGGGCACGGCCCGCGGGTGGCACCTGTTTGGCCTTTCTGGCTTCGGAAGTCCCCGGGCGCGCTCCGCTCATCGCAGAGTGCCTCCTCCTCCTCCTCCTCCTCCTCCTCCTCCTCTTCCTCCCCCTCCCCCCCCTCCTCCTCCTCCTCCGCCTCCCCCTCCTCCCCCTCTTCCCTCCTCTTGCAGATGGTCACCACCCACCAAACCACCTCCACCCAGCCCGAAGGCTCAGACTTGCCCTCGACTTCCAGTGGGGGGGGGGGTCGGGAGAAACATCGACAAAAGCTCGTGCGGAGTCCTCACCCACCCCAGCCCGAAATTCGGGCCTTCGGGTCGGGTTGGGGTGGTCTGGTAGGTAGTCAGACGGCAGGAGAAGGAACCTGCCTTCCCCGGTGTGCCGGGGCGCAAGACCCCCGGCGGCGGACTCCCGCCAACGGCGAGCCGTGGAGCGCGCTCGTCGCTGAAGGCTCGGCACGGTGCTCGGGCACGGCGCGGCACGCGCAGACCCCGAGACCGTCTTTTGTTGTTGCTCTCTGGCGGGCAACGCCTGCTGCCCGGGCCCAAGCCCCCCCCCCCCGGCAGCGCCGACGATCGTACGTTCTCTGGGGGTGGAGGGCGGACCCCCCCCCCCTCTCAGCAGGTCTCTCGGCATCGCTCGGACGCGTGCCTTTTTTTTGTCGGCGAGGGCCATCGGGGAGCCTCTTGGAGCAGTCAGCGAGACATGCGCGCACGAGATCGACGAACGCACGGGGAATGGACGTCCGAGCGATGGCGAGGTCTGGCGCTGTGCTCACAGGCGTGGCGGTTCTCGGGCGCGGTGCGGCGCGCCTGCGGCCTCGGCGCACGGGCCGTTTCTCTCGCGCCGCACGGCGCGCGGGCGCTGGCGCGGCGCGCGGGCGCGGGCGCGGCGCGGCACGCGGCACACGCGGCGCGCTCTCCTGCGGGACGGGGAAATGACCACAGCCATTGTTTTTTGTTTTTGCGCCGCCTTCCAGCCGGCCGAAAAAGAAGCAGTGGTTGTGGTCATGTCCCTGGTGCCAAGCTCAACGAAAAGGACCACAGCCGCTGCTTTGTGTCTGCGGGCTGGAAGGCGGCAACGAAAGAAAAGCAGTGGCTGTGGTCGTTTTCACGCCCCGTACTCTCCGGAGCCCGGGCGCGCCACGGCACGCGGGCACGGCGCGGCGTGGCCTTCTGGCGGCGCACTTGCGGCTTTCGTGGTCGTAAGCCGGACGCTGGAACGTAGCCATTACCAGTGGTGGGCCGTTTCTCGAATCCCAGGACTTCTTGAGGGTCTGGGACGACGTCGGCGTGGTATGGTGTGTACTCTTTTCCCTGTTCTCCCAGGGGAAGCGACGACATATGTATACACCAGGGTTCCTTATACACCAGGATCCGCTATTCCTGTGCGAGTTTCAGTACGGGGCCAGAACAAGCGTTGTTGTATAGAGTTCGGTTCCTTAGTTTTCTTTGAATCGGCCAGCCGATAACCTAACCTTAGCGCTGTGGGCAGCCCTGCATGTGCCCGCGCCCCCCCACCCTGGACCTGCACAACTGGCGAGGTTAGGTTATCCTGGGGGGGGAGGGGAGGCAAGCCCGATAACCCGGGTTACCGCCGGACCTAAAAAGAATGGTCTCTACACTTCAGACTTCTTGCGGCGCTCGCTGTTCAGGACAATCGCAACGGGTTCTCAGAAGGTAAGTCGGAGCCGTTACAGCAGTCGTTGTGTAGTGGAGAATCTGTTCGATGTTCTCGTGGATGTGCTCGGTTTGTTGAACCAACGGCAACAGTCGAGATCGACGTGGCGTCTTGTTCGATCAATATTCGCAACTTCTGGGTTGGAAGGGGGATGTCCATAGATGTCCAAAGATCCAGTGTCACGCATGTTGTGCCTTGAAGGTCCGATCATCGTGTTCAGGTCTCAATTCGGAGATTCTGGACTTTCCGACGCCCCGAGATGATACCACCATTCGAAGGTGCCTCTTAGTTATCTATTACGACATATTATAATTCCGCCTGGGTCACTTGAGCGACTTGGGACGTTTCTGTAAGTCCTCTGACTGTCGCTATTTCAATAATGGTAAAGCTCCCAATTTTTAAGTGGCACGTTCCACGCTACTCAGCGTTACCATCCTTACCAGTACTGGCACCAGCCCTACAAGTACCGTTTCCAATGTTTTCAGCGGCCGTATCAGTAGTTCGGCAGTGTCACCATCGTCATCTGTTTTCGCAGTCCACTTGTTTCATGGCCGCCAGCATCACAGTGAACTATATTCGATACTTACGTGGGTGTTACGGCTTGTTTCAGTGAGATAACAGGTCCAATTTTCCAACACGTAGTCGTGTGAACCTACATATGGTAATGTACGTCTGTCCCCCAATCGATTTCATCAATTTCATGATGACCAGCCTAGTTGTCTAGTCGATTGTTTCTTGTAGGTGTTTTCCAAGCGCGCTGTTTGAGGACTACCTGCAAGGTGTGGCCCGACTGTCACATCATCGTCATCGCAGACGAGCCCAAGCAGATACGGCGACTGTACGACAAGGGCGCAAACTATGTCCTGGCGACGAAGAAGCTGAGCGCCGAGCGGATCGCTGGCATGCTGACGGAGCACTACTCCGATGGCACAGGATCGCCGAGAACAAAATAACCCCTAACCATATCAACACGATGAAGACGTGGCCTAACTAAGGTCCCCGTCCTCGCGTTGGGGATAGTGAATTTGGGCGGTTGGGTTTGACACGTCTTCAGAGCAGATGCCCTGTCCCCAATGTTTCTGGCCCTGCTAATTTAGGTCCCCTCCTAAAGATTGGGGGCACGTATCTTGTTGATCACAGGAGGCGAGCTGAAACACCACCTGGCATTTCACCGCCACCGCGAGTCCGAGTGGCGCGCGAAGCTCATCGACCTGAACCTCGGACCGCAAGACTTTTAAGCACTGCGAGGCCAGGGGGTGCTGACGTGCACCGCCCCTTGGGCCGCGGCAGGCTCGCGCGGTCTTCGAAGCCCACTGCTCGAGCAGCTTGTGGAAGTTCAGGCCACTGGCTCCCCCAGCCTTTGCTCCTTTGACGTGGGGAGCCCTGGAATTTTTTTCTCTACATGACCGGCTTCGCACAAGCCCCCCCCCTCTCTCCCCAGAGCTCCGACGTCGTGATTCCCTAACAGCGCTTCGCCAGGGGGATCTCACAGTGGTGAAAAAGGAGCACAGCAACGTCCGACGGGGGGCACGGGGAGCCTGAGAGCGTTGCTGGTGTCGGTATCCCTTTCGCCTAGATTTCCCCACGCCTTGCTCGGGCAGTTCTCGCCTCAGTGCCAGCTACGTGTCTGGTCTGGACGGCTACGATGCTCGGCAAAGCATACACTGCGGTGCACATGGCCGCACCTGCCGCTTCACCTTCGCGGCCATTCGGGTGCTTTGCTGGAGTATTCCAGATTTCGTAATAAAAGGGAGGGGGTCTGGACCCTCCAAGACAAGCCATTTCAGACCTCCCCCGTGGGAGAACCCTCCAAAACATCGTCCCCAGACCCCCCAGGCCCTCCATTATAGCCTGGAAGAGATCTCCCCCGAAATGAGACCCCCCTCCCTTTATATTACGAAATCTGGAGTATGTGTGCCACAGCGTGGACCCCCAGAGGTCTGGACCCCCTCCTTGGGACCCGCTTGTCATCCCGAGGCGTTTTTTTTGACGGCCCCAGGGTCTGGTGAGGGCCCTTGGAGGCCGACCCCCGCCAAGAGCCGTCCGTCGTCGTGATCTTGTCCGCGACGAGGAGGAGGAGGAGGAGGAGGAGGAGGAGGAGGAGGAGGAGGAGGAGGTCTATCTTGGGCATCGTGAGCGCCCTGGAAGCGCCTGGGACGTGCCTGAGTGCCGACATCGCCCCGAGAAGAGGGGGTGATGCATGCCGCTGGGCGCGGATAGGGGGGGAAGGGAGGAGGAGGAGGAGGAGGAGGAGGAGGAGGAGGAGGAGGAGGAAGAGGAGGAGGAGGAGGTGGAAGAGGAGGAGGAGGAGGAAGAGGAGGAGGAGGAAGAGGAGGAAGAAGGATGATGATGATAATGATGAGGAGGAGGAGGACGAGGAGGAGGAGGAGGAGGAGGAGGAAACGGGTATAAGGGGGAGGGGAGGGGGCGGCCCTCTACAACACAGCGCACAGGCATGCTGACACGCCACTGCCGCGCAGGCACGGCGGCGGACTTTTCCTCAGAGGGGGTTCAGTGGAGAAGCATCGCGTGCCGAACGATGCCACGACTGGTCAAACTAAGAAGGAGATGCTGCGTAGTGGGAATGGGAAGCACGATTGATGATATTGAGTTATTGATGGAGGTGGTGGTAAGGGTATGGTCAAGCAAATGGACACATGCGGCGGGAGACGCGGACTAACTGTAGCGTATTCGAAGCAGGGTGTTGATCCGTACGGGAACGAGGTGAAGAGGATGTTGACGACGAGGGCTCGGATGATACATGGATGCGGTGTGGATGCTGACGATAAGGCTGCTGCTGGTGACGATAACGATGACGATGGCGATGACGATGGCGATGGTACTGCTGGTGATGATAATGATGCTTCTGATGATGACGATGATGGTGACCAGGATGATGATAATGCTTATGAAGATGATGGTGGTTGTGGTGATGCTGATGACGATGATGATGACGATACTGCTGACGGTGATGATGATGATGATGATGTTATCATGATGATGTTGATGTTGATGATGACGATGATGATGATGGTGATTAGGTTGATGATGAGGCTGTTGATGCTGGTGCTGCTGATGCTGATGATGCTGCTGATGATGATGGCGATGATGAAAACGATGCCGATATTGATGGTGCTGATGAACATGCTGATGCGGATGATGCTGATGATGATGCTGCTGCTGCTGATGCTGATGATTACGATGATGCCTATGACGAGGGTGATGATGATGCTGGTGATGATTATGAGAATGGCGAGGAGGGACACGATACGCATGTTGGGCGATGCTCACCGTTCTGATACTGCTGATGCTACTGGTGGTGATGATGATGAGAATGAGGCATCTGATGATGATGATGATGATGATGATGATGATGACGGTGATGCTGACGATGATGATGCTGGTGATGATGCCGATGATACTGCTGCTGGTACTGATGCTGGTGTTGAGGCAGGTCAGGCTGCTGTTGCCGCTGCTGCCGCTGATGATGTGGATGATGTTAGTAATGATACGATGATGATGGTGGTGGTGGTGGTGATGACGATGCTGACCTTGATGATGATGATGATGATGATGATGATGATGATGCTGATGACGATGATGATGATGATGATGATGATGATGGTGATGGTGATGATGATGATGATGATGATGATGATGGTGATGATACGGATGCTGATGATGATGCTGCTGATGATGATCATTCTCAGGGTGTGGAAGATGATGATTGTGCTGACAATGCTGATGATGACGATGATGCTGATAATGATGATTATGATGATGCTGATGATGATGATGATGTTGATGATGATGAAGCAAATGCTGATGCTGATGCTGATCTTGATGCTTCTGGTGATGCTGTTGATGCTGAGGATGCTGATGATGCTGATGCTGATGCGGGTTCTGATGCTGATGATGATGTTGATGGTGATGATGCTGCTGCTAATGACGATGCTCACGATGATGATGATGAGGATTATGCTATGCATGAGGAGGAGAAGGGTGATGATGGTGATGATGAACCTGATGATGATGACGATGATGATGATGATGATGATGATGATGATGATGATTAGGATGCTGACTCTGATGATGGCGAGGAGGGACACGAAAAGCATGTCGGGTGATGCTCACCGTTCTGATAATGCTGATGCTACTGGTGGTGATGATGATAATGAGGCATCTGCTGATGACGATGATGCTGATGATGACGCTGATGATGATGAGGATGATGCTGCTGATGATGATGATCATGATGATGATGCGGCTGATGCTGAGAATGATGATATGGTGATGCTTATTATGAAAATGACCTGATGGTGATCTGATGACAATGATGATTATGATGCTGATTGCGATGATGATGATACATATGATTATAATGCTGATGATGATGCTGATGCTGATGATGCTGATGATGATGATGGTGATGATGATGCTGATGCTGATGATGATGATGATGATGTTGATGATGATGATGATGATGATGATGATGATGATGATGATGATGATACTGCTGGTGGTGGTGGTGATGATGATGATGATGATGATGATGATGATGATGATGATGATGATGATGATGATGATGATGATGATGATGATGATGATGATGATGATGATGATGATGATGATGATGATGATGAGGAGGAGGAGGAGGAGGAGGAGGAGGAGGAGGAGGAGGAGGAGGAGGCTGCGAAGGGCAGAGTAAAGAGTCACGCGTGTGAGCGACCAGAGGGACGCGGAGAGGAAGGAAGGAGGGCGGGACGGAGTAGAGGAAAGGACGGAGGGAGTGAGGCGCATTCGCAGCCGCAGTAGCCGTTCGCGCGCGCCCAAGCGGCCACCGCGTGAGTAGCGATGCTGAGTTCCCCCCCTCCCCGAACTGAATTTTGAATCCCTGGGGGTGGAGGAGTGGGGGGAGGGGGGGAGATTCGGTCTCTTTACAACCAGAACAACCACTTTACAACCAGATGGGTTACTTTACAACCAACATAGGATTGGAAAGTATGTTTTTTTCATCGAGAACGTCCACTTTGCAACCAGAACGGCCCACTTTACAACCAGAACGGACCACTTTACAACCAGAACGGGCCCTTTTTACAACCAGAACGGACCACTTTACAACCAGCTCAGAGTGGCCATGCGTGTTTGGGCGTTCCGCAAAGTGCTCCAGAGCAAGTGGGCGCTCTGAAAAATGCCCCAGAGCAATTGGGCGCTCTGAAAAATGCTCCAGAGCAAGTGGGCGCTCTCAAAAGTGCTCCAGGGCGCGCGGACGCTCTGAAAAATGATCCAGAGCACGTGGGCGCTCCGGAGCCCGAGCGCCTGAACTCTCTGCGCAGGCCCCAGCGATGCCTCTGAACCCGAGCGCCTGAACGCCCCGCGCAGGCCCCAGCGATGCCTCTGAGCCCGAGGACCTGGACGCTCTGCGCAGGCCCCAGCGATGCCTCTGAGCCCGAGGACCTGGACGCTCTGCGCAGGCCCCAGCGATGCCTCTGAGCCCGAGCGCCTGGACGCTCTGAGCAGGCCCCAGCGATGCCGCTGAGCCCGAGCGCCTGGACGCTCTGGCGCTCTGAGCCCAGCAGACTAAGACAGGGCTTGCTAGCAGGGGCCAAGCGGCCTCAACAAGGGCCCCGTGCTCGCACGGGAATAAGGCGACAGCATACGTAGGAAGGCTCAGGGCGACGCGCTGCCCATTTTAGGGATCACTCACAGGAAGCGAGCCCAGTGGCCTCCACAAGGGCCCAGCGTTCCAGGGAACTAGGCCATTGGCACCGCGGGTCTCTTGGGCCACGTTGGCCCCTGAAACCCCACGGTGTTCTGCAAGGGGCTAAGTGCGCCCGCTCCAGTTGGCCCCCTGCTGCTCCTCGTCTTGGAAGATCGAGGTTCAACGTCCCGAATCAATGCAACTATTTCGAAGATCGTTTCTTCCAGCGTCAGCCACGGTGCCAGCGCAGCAACGCAGGTATCGTGCTCGGGCAGCAGCCTCAGCCGCCGTGCCAGCGCAGCAGCTTGAGCCACCGTGACAGCGCATCACCGCCACCTTTGTGCCTGCTACCACCACACTTACCGCTGCAGCCCCGCTACCTCCACAATTCCGACTGACCCCCCGCTACTGCCGCAAATCCCATTGCAGCCCAGCTACCACCACAGTTCCCACCGTTGCCTGGCGACCACCACAGTTGCCACCGCAGATTCCCAACACCATGCAGTTCCCATTGTAGCCCCTGCTTCCACCACATCT